TCTAGTTTCCCAAGAACGTCATTCACTATATCTGGTCTCCCCCGACCCTGCATTCCACTATATCTGGTCTCCAGGACCCTGCATTCACTATATCTGGTCTCCAAGGACCCTGCATTCACTATATCTGTTCTCCCAGGAACCTTCCCATTCACTATATCTGGTCTGGCCCCTGGACCCTGCATTCACTATATCTGGTCTCCAAGGACCCTGCATTCACTATATCTGCTCTCCCCAGACCCTGCAGTCACTATATCTGTCTCCCCAGACCCTGCATTCACTATATCTGGTCTCCAAGGACCCTGCATTCACTATATCTGGTCTCCCAGGAACCTTCATTCACTATATCTGGTCTCCCTGGACCCTGCATTCACTATATCTGGTCTCCAAGGACCCTGCATTCAACTATATCTGGTCTCCCAGGAACCTTCATTCACTATAACTGGTCTCCCTGGACCCTGCATTCACTATATCTGGTCTCCCAGACCCTGCATTTACTGTATCTGGTCTCTCCGGACACTGCAGTTCACTATATCTGGTCTCCCCAGACCCTGCTTTCACTATATCTGGTCTCCCCGGACCCCTGCATTCACTATATCTGGTCTCCCCGGACCCTGCATTCACTATACCTGGTCTCCCCGGACCCTGCATTCACTATATTTGGTCTCCCCGCACCCTGCATTCACTATATCATGGTCTCCCAGGACCCTGCATTCCCTATACAGTTGCAAGAAAAAGTATGTGAACACCCTTGGGATTACGTGGAGTTTTGCATGAATTGGGCATTAAAATGTGCTCTGAACGTCATCTAAGTCACAACAATAGAAGAAACACAGTCTGCTGAACATAATATACACAAACATTAGATGTTGCCATGGTTTAATTGTACATAACATGTAAACATTCACAGTGCAGGGAGGAAAAAGTATGTGAACCTTTGGACTTAATAACTGGTTGACCCTCCTTTGGCAGCAATAACCTCACCAAACGTTTCCTGTAGTTGCAGATCAGACCTGCACAACGATCTGGAGTAATTTTGGACCACTCCTCTTCACAAAACTGTTTCAGTGTAGCAATATTCTTTGGGATGTCTGGTGTGAATCGCTCTCTTAAGGTCATGCCACAGCATTTCAATCGGGTTGAGGTCAGGACTCTGACTAGGCCACTCCAGAAGGCGTATTCTGTGCTGTTGCAGCCATTGTTTTGTTGAATGACTTGTATGCTTTGGGTCATTGTCCTGTTGCATCACCCATCCTCTGCGGAGCTTCAGTTGGCGGACAGATGGTTGTACGTTTTCCTGCAAAATGTCTCGATAAACTCTGGAATTCATTTTCCCATCAATGACAACAATCCGTCCAGGCCCTGAGGCAGCAAAGCAGCCCCAAACCATGATGCTCCCTCCGCCATGTTTCACAGTGGGGATGAGGTTTTGATGTTGGTGTGCTGTGCCTTTTTTTCTCCACACATAGTGTTGTGTGTTCTTCCCAAACAACTCAATCTTGATTTCATCTGTCCACAGTATATTTTGCCAGTAGTGCTGTGGAACATCCAGGTGCTCTTTTGCAATCTTCAAATGTGCTGCAATATTCTTTTTGGACAGCAATGGCTTCCTCTGTGGTGTCCTCCCATGTACTCCATTCTTGTTTAATGTTTTCCTTATTGTAGATGTGTCAACAAAAATGTTAGCATGTGCCAGAGATTTCTGTAGGTCTTTAGCTGACACTCTGGGATTCTTCTTTACCTCATGCAGCATTCTGCGCTGTGCTCTTGCAGTCATTTTTACAGGACGACCATGCCTAGGGAGAGTAGCAACAGTGCTAAACTTTCTCCATTTGTAGACAGTCTGTCTTACCGTGGACACATGAACATCAAGGCTTTTGGAGATACTTTTGTAACCCTTTCCAGCTTCATGCAAGTCAACAGTTCTTGATCGTAGGTCTTCTGAGAGCTCTTTTCTGCGAGGCATGGTTCACATCAGACAGTGCTTCTTGAAACCAGTAAACCCAAAACAGGTGTGTGTGTTTTTTAAGGGCAGGACAGCTGTCAGCAACACATCCAATATCATCACACTGATTGGAGTCAAGGTTGGCTCACTCCTGGCTCCAATTAGCTCTGGGAGAAGTCATTAAGCTAGGGCCTCACATACTTTTTCCTCCCTGCACTGTGAATGTTTACATGTTATATGCAATTAAACCATGGCAACATCTAATGTTTGTGTAGTATTATGTTCAGCAGACTGTGTGTTCTTCTATAGTTGTGACTTAGATGATGTTCAGAGCACATTTTATGCCCAATTCATGCAAAACTCCACGTAATCCCAAGGGGTTCACATACTTTTTCTTGCAACTGTATCTGGTATCCCACAATACACACAACATGGAAATAGAATTATTTTAGTAAATATAAACTGCTAAATACCTTTTCTCATCAGCAGTTAGAGCAGTCTTGTGACTTCTATCAGTGTCCAGCAGAGCACTGGTTAAAGCTTGTAGGAGGAGTTTTCCTTCTGCTCTGACTGTCCTATGAGGCTGCATGACCCCTGACTTTCTGTATGGACAGCGCTGATTGGCCCTGTGCTGATCACATGCACCCTCCCAAAGGGAAAAAAAAACTCTCTAGCAATTCACACTAAACTGAGCATGTGCAGAGTGACTCCTAGAGCTCTGTACTATCAGCAGATGAATTGGGAACATTAGAAGAAGGGGAGTATCAGAGAAGACAGGACCAAACAGCCTTTTTACACAATGCGGAGGATTAACCCCTTAGATTCCACGGTGAATATACCAAGCATGCTTTACTGCATATACAGACTGAATCTTTTGTGGGTTTAGCAACACTGTAAATAGACTTTTTCCATCTCTTTCAATCTTCAGATTTCAATTAAATATTACCTCATGAACATGCCATGAGGTTGCATGATCCCACACTTCCTGTTATAGGGTGACAACATCTGTCCCTTCTCCCCAATGTGTTCCTGTGTTGTCACCCTGTCATATTGGTTATAGATGGAGACTACAAGAGGCAGATTTACTAAAACTCAGATTCTGGTGCAGCTGTGCATGGCAGCCAATCAGCTTCTAACTTCAGTTTGTTCAATTAAGCTTTGATAATAAAACCCGGAAGATGATTGGTTTCTATGCAGAGCTGCACCAGATCTTGCACTCTCCAATTTTATTAAATAACCCTACAAGTGTCCCATTTCTACACACATTTCACAGACATGATCCCCTGTTGTCACCATCAGGAACCCTGCCCTGAGAAAGGCCATTGCTAAAGTGCATGCAGACAGGAAGTGATTGCAAAAAGGCTGCAGGAGATCTGCAGCGCTGAGAGGTAACAAAGGAGGAAGAAAACAGGGCGGAGCCATGTACAGTCATGCTAAATTCAAGTCAGTACAATTTTCAGACCGAAGCAGCACTTTGGCGTTTAGGCAAGGTGGGGGGGAGGTTGGGTTCTGGGGATGGTGTATCTGGCTAAGCTTCATCTTTCAACCTAAAAATGGGTGTAACATGAAACGCGGTCCAAAACATGGGCGTGGTCTTTCAATGTCGGGTCACATAAAATATCCATTGGCAGTCATTGTCAGATGACCTCTTAATGATCTCATTGGTTTTCTCCATTGCACAAACTTTCCACAATTGGTGGAATTTCAATGCAAAAACAGAATGTCCTTCAAACGTGCAGCCAGGGGGGCGGTAAAACTACAGTTACCACCCCTGATCTCCCACCTCAACAAGGGCATTCAGGGCTGTACCCATGCTGAGGCCACTGTGGTTTGCTTTGCGCAAAAATTAATCCCCGCTGACGCATTTGGCAGGCAGTCTCTTAAGAGAATGGGGCCATACCAAAACCACCCTGTAACCGCCTGCAATGCACGTGGGTTCGGCACGGTGGGCCAACATTTTCAGGGTTAAAACAGGCGGCTAAAGGCAACATATCAGTAATCCACCACCGATCACTTTTCAGAGGGGCAGCAAGGGCTAACACATGGGAATGAGTCTTATTAGTAAAATAATCTGTTACTTCTCAGCAAATCTAAACCCGCATTCACATTTTTTTATCATGCGCAAAATTGTGCAATTTCACATGTGATTACAATACACGCCAAAAATGCCTGTTGCGCTGTTGTTGCAGTTCATTGTCAATGGCACCTCAAAAAAAAAAAGTTTGTCAAACATGGAAAACTGTCAGAAATATGCACAAGATACTTTGCCACATTTTGTTGCGCATAGGGCAGCCTATGCAGATGAATGAAGTGCCCTATGTGCGTGGCACAAAAAAACCCACATATGCGCAGTGCGATTTTACATGCGTTTACGCAAAGCTTACATAAATGCGGGCTAAACTCTCTGTCTGTTGTATGTTGTTGTTGCTGTTTATGTTATTGCTATGCATCTCTATGTACCTGTCATGGGAAATGTTATCTCATCTGACTGATCGCTCAGCCTTGTTTACATTGTACAGCGCTACAGAGGATGTTGGCGCTATACAGAAAAATATATAGAACAGACACCCAATAATCTGTGCACTGGAGAGAAGGAAGGTAAAGGAAAGGGCGGCTGTTGGTGATCACAATGGACTGAACTACATTTAGTATCTGCTCAACGAAAACTGACAGCTGCAATCCTATTGGTTACCGAGGGAAGTACAAATATCCTCCTCCAATGATATACTGTATATGTCTGCTATAGAGAATAGGTGCAGGAACTGTCCCCCTTGAGTCAGCGTTTATCTCCACTACCTACCCACCTCCTAGCACCACCCCCTCGTTCTACCCCCTACCCACCTCCTAGCACCACCCCCCCTTGGTTCTACCCCCTACCCACCTCCCAGCACCACCCCTTCCCTTGGTTCTACCCCCTACCCACCTCCCAGCACCACCCCTTGGTTCTACCCCCTACCCACCTCCCAGCACCATCCCTTGGTTCTACCCCTACCCACCTCCCAGTACCACGCCTTGGTTCTACCCCCTACCCACCTCCCAGCACCACCCTTGGTTCTACCCCCTACCCACCTCCCAGTACCACACGCCTTGGTTCTACCCCCTACCCACCTCCCAGTACCACCCCTTGGTTCTACCCCCTACCCACCTCCCAGTACCACCCTTGGTTCTACCACCTACCCAGCTCCCAGTACCACCCCTTGATTCTACCCCCTACCCAACCTCCCAGCACCATCCCTTGGTTCTACCCCCTACTCACCTCCTAGCACCATCCTTTGGTTCTACCCCCTACACACCTCCTAGCACCACCCCCTGGTTCTACCCCCTACCCACCTCCTAGCACCACCCCCTGGTTCTACACCCTACCCACCTCCTAGCACCACTCCTTGGTTCTACCCCCTACCCACCTCCCAGCACCACCCCTTGATTCTACCCCTACCCACCTCCCAGTACCATCCCTTGGTTCTACCCCCTACCCACCTCCCAGCATCACCCCTTGGTTCTACCCCCTACCCACCTCCCAGCACCACCCCTTGGTTCTACCCCCTACCCACCTCCCAGCACCACCCTTGGTTTTACCCCCTACCCACCTCCCAGCACCATCCCTTGGTTCTACCCCCTACCCACCTCCCAGCACCACCCCTTGGTTCTAACCCCTACCCACCTCCTAGCACCACCCCTTGGTTCTACCACCTACCCACCTCCACCCCTTGGTTCTACCCCCTACCCACCTCCTAGCACCATCCCTTGGTTCTACCCCC